GCTTAATTTTCTAATTTTTAACGATACAATAGCGACGATTATTATTTTAAAAAATTTTTGTTAGGCTTAACATCGATGAAAATTCAACGCAAAGTAGGTTAATAGCGATATACTAATATACTAATAAACTAATTAAATGGGATATAATAATATACTACACTAATAATAGATTTTTTCATACTTTTCGGTTATCCGCCCTTTCAATTATCCGACCAACCCCAGTCCCCAATTAGGTCGGATAATCGAAGCTCTACTGTAGATAAAACACCAGATGAAGGAGTATCTTGACATCCGAAAAATTATTTAAAATACAAATTTACAGTGTTCTTGACACTCTATTACGTCAAATAGATTAGCGTTATGAAAAAGTGAAAACTATATGTGATGATTTTTGCTTTCTCTGTGGCTCGTCTTTACAATGCATGAGTTTGCTGATTTAAAAAATTCGGCTAGATCTCGCTATTAAATATAGCAAAGATTTAAAAATGTACGAATTCACAAGTGAAATTGAAAGTTTTAATTTTGAAGTAACGACTGTTATACAAAATATAGAAACTGCATCCCGCTTAATATTCTACAGGCTCTTCATGATTTTGGTTTAATCGAGTCTTACCCAAATATCAATGTCGTTCTTCAAATATTTCTAACTCTTCCCGTTTCTATTGCTTCGTGCGAGAGAAGTTTTAGCAAGTTAATTAAACTTAATAAAAAAATATTTAAGATCAACTATCGGATAAGAACGATTATCCAATATTTCTATTATTTCAATAGAATACAATATCGTTAAAAATATTAATTATGATGGTGTAATTAATGAATTTGTTGAAATGAAAGCCAGAAAAATTCAATTAAAATAAATCTTATTAAAAATCTATTTATTAAAAATCTATGTTTTATTATTTTCCTGAAACCAAATAAATTAAGGGGCCTAAATGCAAATTCTTGCACAGGGCACAAGAATGGCAAGTTACGGCTCTGTATGTACTATACTTACTTATGTACTGTACGTACTGTATGTACACAGTATGCCAATTTTAAATGACGAGACCGGATGGCTGAATGGTCACGATGACCTCTTACTACTCTGAAAACTCAGGATCGAATCCGCTATGGGTCAAAAATCCTCAGGAATTTTTCAGGTGGTGTTTCGTCCAGATATGTTTCTCACACCTGATGTGGCCCCTTTCTAAAAGAGACCCTCTTAGTGCCCTGTGGGCAGCGGTATTATAAAAGACACACAGTGCATTTTATAATACCGCCGCCCGACACCGAATTCGGTAGGAAACCGAATCCAAGGAGGGCATGTGGATAGAAGTTATGTTTGTGGGTGTTAATTTTTATGCCTTCTTCGGCCAGATTACATATTTTATTTTGAACTTTACGGTATCAATTTATCAATGTAAAGTATTGATTTTAAAATTAAAATTTTTAAAATATAGATAAATTGCAGCTGCCTTATAAACCGATATTTGTGTTACAAATGATAACAAAATTATGCTAAAATCCATTGAACACAGTAACTGTACTCACAGTACCTAATGTTGGTTTTCATTTTAAGATTCTCAACATCACAATAATATCAAAAAGTTCAACAAATTCACTTATTGTGAAATTAATAATTTGGTATTGTAAAATTCAAAATAGAATATGTAACCTGGCAGAAGAGAGCAAATAAATCACCGAATTGGTTCTGAAGCATTAAATGTTAATTAAAAAAAATGGAAAGGTGTGCGATTTGTCTAAAATTGTACAAGCAATGCAAATAAGTTTGTATAGTTACTTATTACTCTTAATTTAAAAATTAAAATGCATTTTAAATTAATAGAGCCAAGACAAAATACATATTGGAGCTCTGTAGCAAACTATTATATCAATACAGTAGAGTCTCAAAAACTTGGCCTAATGTGGACCGAAGGGTGGCCGAGTTTGTGAAAATGCCGGGTTATCGGGAATGGGGTTAAAAAAATAAGTATGAGTGTTTCCTCAGANTAAATTAAATATTTAATAATGTTTATTTTAAAAAATCTTGATTTAAAATATTAACAGATTGATTTCAATCATATCTTTAAAATATGAGTTAGAAACTAGTTTAGAATTAATAATCAACTCAATTTATTAATTTACACAAGTTAGTAAGAAATATAAATTCACATATTTCTTCAATGATTCATTTTATTCATGATTATTAATTAATCTCTCTTTATATAAAAGTAACTGATTTACACTTTTACAATAGTAAATTAATTGGGAAATATTAAGAATTAATTTACATATACAAAATCATAGTAGATATAACTATAAAAGAAAGTTAATCATTTTCATTAACGTAAACCCAATACTTTGAATCTTAATAAACTCAAGAACTGGTTATGAATAATCAGCCTAAACTCCAGCAATATGTTTAATAAACAAATGAATTTTTTCAATCTCTTAATGATGATCATCAGATTACAATTCTTCAATCATTTAAATTCAAATAACAATTTGAACAATTCAAACTTTATATTCTGAGCCATTTAAAAAATATCAAAATAAATATCAT